TTGTTCGGTATCGGCGACATGTGCTTATCATATTTGTCATCTAATTTAAGCAACTTCTGGAGGGTATTTTTCAGTTTCGATTTAAGTATTCTCTTTTGCTTAAGTAGATTTCCGCGTTTCTTCTTGTGAATGATTCGTTCACGTCGCATTTGCCATCTTTGTTCATTGAGCTTTTTCTCATGTGCGTAACACATTTCTTCCAGTCTGATTCGTTCATTTCTCGCATTGTTCAGTTCGATCATTGCATCTATATACTGAAATATCAAAGAGAAAATTATGGACAGGTTTTTTTTCTTTACAAAATGCTTCAATATTAAATGCACTTGAAAAAAAGTAACGCTTTTTTTTTTAAAAAAAGTAGTATCAACAGGTTTCAAGACAACTTTAATAAGCCTGCTTTTCCGTCTTTCTCTTCCTTCAAAACAGCAAATAATCAGGAATGGGTAGCAAATCAGTATGAATTACTTTTTTGGTCATATTTTTTCCGTTTCCGTCCAGCATTAATGGGTATTTTTTTCTAATCAACAGCAATTGTATCTTCAAGTTAAATAATTCTGCCTTAAGTTTTTCGTTCTCCTTCAAAACTCCGATAGTTTCGTTGTAAACAAGGCGATGCAGAAGCGATAGTGTGTCTAAATTTTTCAGCAAATGAAGCAGTACTTAAGAACAATTATGGGTAAAATGAGAAAAGTTATCAACATTCCCACTTCAGTTCAGTTGAAGGTAAAGAAAACATAATTATAAATTAACCTTCACTGAGAGTTACTGTGAGTCTTCTTGGTTCATAAATGTCGGAAACGGATTTCCATTTCTTCATTGGTTGAATTTGTGTAGCATTCTGATCGTCGCGATTGCTCCCCGTATTGTTTTCAGATGCCATTCTAAATAAATATCATTAAATTACTTCTTCATAACTTTCACAATTTGATCCCATAAGCTGGCTACTTTTTCCGGTTACAAATGCTGCCAATAATTAATGCTTAGGAAGTGAATCAAATGGAATATTATCTCTATATTGTCTAGAAGTTTCAAAATGAATGAGTGTGTGTGTGTGTGTGTGTGTGTGTGTACGTGTGTGTGTGTGTGTGCATGTGCATGTTCATGGGCATGCATGTGTGGGTAAATGTATGTGTGTGTGTGTGCATATCCATGTCCATGTCCATGTCCATGCGCGTGTGTGTATATGTGTGTGTGTGGGCATATACGTGGGTAAGTGTATGTGTGTGTGTAGCATAAGCGTCCGACTATTTCTTGTAACATCTTGAAGCTTTATAACCCCTAAACACCCTGAGACCACGCGGTACGAAACGAAAAGCGCCTTGGAGAGAGACTTTGAGCGCAGCAAAAATAACTGAGATGAAAAGAACGACTGTGAGAGCCTTTTTATACAATACTCCATGAATCTACGGAAATAGTCAGGGAGAAACTTCTGGAACATATGCAAATTTTGACTTTTTCAAGACTTCTTTCTTACCTCAGCAAATTACTTTTCTTCTTTATATGTGCCATCTATTTAATTTCATATTAATGATCAATTAAAAAAGTCTCCTTTGAGAACTTATGTGAAGAAATTAGCGAGCAAACGAATCATTCTGCAAATATTAATGCTAAAATATGTGCACACACCCCGACAGGTCATTTCATCCCGGTAAATACAAGAAAATCTTTTGGGCAGGAAAAGCCACAAAGGGGGGTGGGCAAGTATTCGGGTAACAATCAAATTAGGAAACAGAACAGATTACTCAATGAAAATTTGCAGATGTTCCGTCTTCTTAGAATAGTATACAACAAGCTCCAGTAGTCATTCACTTCATTATTTTCTCGGTGAGTGAGGTGGATGTCTTTTCAAATTGTCTTTCTTTTGTTTCATCTCACGTGGGTTTCGAGTTGTCCACGTAAATGGTTTGCGTGTAAATAAAAGTATTTATTGAGGAATTGAAAAGGGGAGATGAACTGGGATTTATTGAGAATAGAGAGTTCAAAATTTGCCCGCCATCTGGTTGTTCATTAGATCTGGGTAGAAATGGTTGAAGGCTAAGAGAGCTTTTTTGTGGTTTACATCGCTTTACAGCAAATTTTCATCATTTCATGTGATTGAGTAGTCCTTTAATATCGCCGCCTAAATCCAACTTAGACTAAGTTCCACTCATTCTTTTCCGAACTTATCAGATTTGACAACACATTCCTTAGCAACTGCTTTGCTGGACAATTCTAGAGGATAACATCGTTGTTTGATTTATTATTTTCTGAAGGAGTATTAGTGGTATTTGTAACTTAAGAAAGTAACAAATTTCTTCTTGGAATTAATTTGGAAGAATTATGAAAGAAAGACGTGTGATGGCTTCAGTTTAAGATGGCATTCGAAAACTTCGGTTTTAACTCAATATCGTCCTTGCTTGAAACTATTCAGCAACACATTGCTGAAATTGATGCGAAAAACGAAGAGCTTGAAGAAAAGATATCGGAGTTTGAGCAACGCGCCAGATTGGATGTACCGAATAACCAAGAAACACAGGAAAACGTAAGTCATTTTTAAAAAAAATTTAAGTGCTAGAAATCAGAATTTGCATGAAAAATTGAGATTTATTCTGAAAACTTAATTTTAGATGCAGCAAAATCAGTCGGATGGTAGTAATCCGGATGAAGAATTTGAAGAATTCCTGCGTGAGTTGTACGCATTTAACGGCGAAGCGGAGGCGAACGGATGCATTGCAGCCAGCGGATGCAGAATGCGGATGGCGCGAATGCAGTGGATGCAGCTGCATGCAGCAGCGGATGCAGTGCATGCAGCATGCAGAATGCAGTGGATGCAGCTAATGCTAATGCGGATGCACAAAATCATCAGTAGTTTCCCTTTATTTGTTTCATGGGTTTCCCTTTTTTGTAAATCTAAACATTTCTTTTTAAGTATACCTGAAATTGTAAGTGCTACTAAAATATTGTTTATGATAAATAATGTTATAATTTCTCTATCCAGCAGTTTTTTCCTTCGATGAAATTTTGTGAACTCATTTCTGAATTCGGTGTTGGTCTATCCGTATTTCTGTTGCGAGCTAGCCGGTTTGCACTTACTTCATTTCCCAAACATCTTATGGCCCATCTTAGGTATTATGGGCTGTGGTTAGCTTTTAAGAATTACTGGAACATTTCGGAATTTCACTTAACTCATTGTGATTGCAGAGTGATTTATGTCATTCCCACTTGTATTACTATAAAGTATTATATTTTAATCGATCGATGAAGCAAAAAATTGAAATAGTTTTGAAAAATAATCTCCTAGAATAATTATACAAAACTGTCATGCAGCTCTCAATACGAGTTTCACTTACTTTTGCCTCCTCCACCTGTCGCTACTGGATTTGTGAAACCGAGTATATCCTTTGGGTCGATCGCACACGAAACTGGCCACATCCTAACTTGTGGTTTATCTCCTGGGCCTAGCAAGCGTAATTGTGGCAGCGAAATCCTCATGTTGTGGGCTTATTTATTGTATCTTCCTTTTAGATTTGTGACTTTGCAAGGCTAATGAGTTCCATTTGCCCGAGTCACATCTTTTCTCTCGGAATGAATTGCCTTAAAGCAAGTGAGTTCATTTTACCCATGGGCACACTTTATTGAAACCTGCTAGTCTTTCAGGCCACATTGCACCTCAAAAATAGAGAATGCATCATGACTTTCCGCACCATGAAAAATTCTTTCAAATTTCACTTACTAATGTATCTTTCCTTTCGGGTATAGTCTGTGTGCACTGAAGGAATTTAGTCATTTCGCCCTGAGAGAACTGATTCAGCTATTTACGGATCAGTTTTGCTCCAATAAATTATTGTAATAGGAAGTTTTTTACGACTCTTTGTAATCTGACAAAGAAGGTTAAAGTGAACGAAGATAGTTGTAACATAAAATATGAATAAATGATTTCGTGAATCTTTTTAGCTTACTATTCTTTCTGTATAGCTTTCATTTCCTTTTACATATTGCATTTATTGTTGGTGAGAGGATCGTCACGTCAAATCCCTCAGACGTCATAGCAGTAACGTTGGTTGTGAACATTTTGTAAAGAGTTGGGTTATCTAAATTGATGAGAATTTTTGGATAATTAATGTTGCAAATTATAGTTTCTGAGTGCTTTTTTTGATCAAATTTCTACGAATTATTACTGATATGATTCCTTGTGATATGGAAGTAGTAATTGAATGATAAAATTGATGACAATGATTTAAAAAAAAAAAAGCATTTTATAATTAGAAATTAGTGGAAACAACGACAAATAATTTTATTATATAAAAAATTCGTCTCGAAATTTTATGCATCATTTTAGTAAGCCAATATAATGTGCAATATCTTTAAGAATTGATTCGAACTACCTTATCATTTCATACAATATATTTCTCATCAAAATTATATCAGCAAACTTGTGCATTTAAACAAATTCTGATTTCAAATAGAAGTGTCAGTAATTTGAAACATTTGGATTTTACATCTCTTTTAACGTGTTCGCACGACTTCCGGTATTTATAACATGTTTTGATGCTTGGCAGTGACTTTGCTAGAAGAAGCGCTAAAGGAAATTGTATAATGTAAATGGAAGCTGGTGCCTCTATTGAAATAAATATGAAATTAAAGTCGTTCGAAAAATTTGTGACCATTTTGAAAGTATCGTTTTGCAAAAGTTTAACACAAATAATTTTATTATAATTAATTTGCCATTAAATCATTTGAAATTTTTGATTGAACTGTTAATACTCAACCAGATTACCATAAATTGAATGGAATGATTTGCTGTTCATTACTGATTTCATGTCATATACTAGTTGCATTTGCGGTAAAAGTTTAATGGACAATAAATAAGGATTAAACTATCATGAACGTACAGGAATTTATCATTAACCAATGCTTACACACCATTTGAACTTGGAAGTCCTTTAACAGTCTAGCCTATGCATATATATGTGTAAGATCTACTTGGAAAGATATAAGGTAGTTTGTAAGCCAGGAATGAATTAATAACAAATATGAAATAGTATAACACATGAAATTATCGAGAAAAGAACTGGACCATAATGACCACAATGACCGATATTAGCAGTTTCCACTTCAGGTTTTCCTGTCATCTGACTTTTTACGGACTCTATTAGCTTTCTTTCTTCGGCTGTAGCTTCTGATTGTTGAGCAGATTCATAATCAAGGTTCATCAACATGCTACTTGTTTCCGCAACTTTTATCGATTTTGATGCCACCTGTGCGGTAACATCGTTTTGATATTCCAATTCATGGGTTCGGAAGAATTTAGAGGGTGGCTTACAGGTAGAACAATCACAATTGAGCATTGCACGACGAGAACAACTTCCCTCACGGAGTAGCTTTTCTGCATTTTGTAAAGTTAGGGAGAAATCACTGTGCGATAAGCATCGTACCTGAAAAATATTTTTAAGAAATCCTAATTAAAAAAATGGCGTGTCGGAATCTTTAGGATCTATTTGTTTCTTCTTTTTCACCACTAATAAAATAGCATATTGAAAAAACTGAACTAATGTCTTCCGTCATAATTCATTAGTGACTAACTTCAATTGTTACTGAAATTTAATTACACAAATTGAAATTTAGAAATTTTTTTCGAATTATTTTTTTATTGTGCATCATCGAATTATCGAAATATTATGTGTTTGTATATAATCATCTAAAAAGGCTTAGGGAACATTAAATTAGTTTATAAAATGCGACCATGCATGATTCCATTTCCGAAAGTTTAATTTCAACGCAGCAAAAATTTGTCCCAATTGAGTTACGATGATACTAAAGCTGGAATGAAAGTTTTGGACTTTACAATGAATTTCTTGTTTTAAAGTATATCAAAGTCCAGAAATCAGAATAATTTTTGCATTCAAACATTCTTTTTAATTTCTTTCTTACGGACAAAACTTTTTTTTCCGAAGTCAATTAGAAATTTAATTTTTCTTGAAAATCGTTATTTCCAATTCAATTACTTTGAAATTAGAACAACTGTTGCCAGTTTCTATTAGTAATTGTATCCCTACTCTTTAATAATTTAATTTCATTTTGATAGTGATAACGGCAAATTAATAAACATTATCGGAGAGCAAAAATATGCTTCATTTCAACTATTTGGTTAAATCGTTGAAAATATCAACCAATGCAATCCTTTGAAATTGCTGAAATACTTCGCGATGCAATAACAACAATAAAACGGACAGTAATAGTAGCTATGACAACAATAACAACAACTACTACAATAACGGCAGTATAACAACAACGACAACAACAATAACAGTAATAATAATACTGCTAATAATAATAATTAGGAGAATATATCTTTCTAATTAACTTAATTGATTTGTGTCGAAATTACTATTCGATTTCTTTTTTTTTTTTTTTTTTGGTATTTCTGTAAAAAAGCTATCAGATAAGGTCAGGAATGAAGGAAAACAAATTCGTTCCGACGTAATTAACCGTCAGACATGTGACATTCAAAAAAGAAAAAGATTCATAGCGATAAATTCCTGGTTGCTTCGACATATTCAAATTAAAATTTAAGTGATTTATTCTGTTTGGGATTATTTTGTTTCTCTCTTTAAAAATATTTCGCTATATATCACATTTAAATGAAGTAATTTGAAATTATATATCAAAATTAGAAAAAAAAAAGCTAAAGAAAAGGTCTTCCGCGAAAAAAAGTTTTTATGATTTTGGTGTCTGTGCTTCTGTTCTGAGGGAAGGAATTTTAAAATTAAACAAAATATTTCATTATCTCAGATGAGTTTATGATCAACACTTGCATTATTTGCTATTACAAATTCCATTTTGATCATTTAGAAATATCATTTCAAATTTGGAAATTCAAATATTTTTTCAATAGTTAGTCTAATATAATTGTTATCAAACTTTTGAACCTTCAAATTTTATAATCAATTACAACCTTTACTAATGTAATATACAATTCAACAGATACAAACAAACCAGTCGATTAACTTGTGATGTCCAGGATATTTCATGAATTGTTAAACAGTATAGTACGGAATCTGAGCTATTATTTATGCATGATGACAAATTATTGAAGCAGTTTTCAGCTAAAAGTCGAACATCCATGCAATAATCACATTTCTGAAACAGTTTTAACAAGTTATTCAATTCAAAATTTACATATTAAATGGAAATTATTATAACTACTATTATCAAAGTTTTAAATTTTTTATTTGAACATATGCCATAAAATAGGGAGATGTTATTATTTGTACGAGATGAAGAAATCAGAAAGTGCTGCAATGGACAAAAACTAAGATTAATGTGGATCAGAAAGATTCAGAAAAAAAAGAGAACGGATACGTAATGCGAAAGTGGAGTATGACATTTCCGGATGATCGGAACAGGGTATTGTTGCAGTATTCAATGAGATTAATTAAGTTTAGATTATAACTGTATCACTGAGAAGTGTAACAACAGAAAATGTATTTAAAGCAATGATTTCGACAATTTTGATGATGTCAAAGGACAAAAGCAATGTGAATGACAGATAGAAAATTGCAAAGATTAAAGATTTTTTATAAAAATAAAAAAATTGTAAGATAATCATTTTTTTTTTTCTTCAGTGAAAAAATTACATTGATTGAAAAATAGAACAAATTTCTATTTAAGAAAAAATTGAAATCAAGTGCAAACTGCTGTTACTGACAGAATCGAAAAAGTGCAAAATAACTGATCAATCGGATGACAGAGATGACGGATTTGTTTAATCCTTGAGATGATAAAAATTGATTTAAAATAAAGTACAAATGATACTGTACTTTTAAATATATAACTAGCATAATTCAATCATTTTAATACAACAGCTTAATAAGTGTTTATTTTAGCTTATCTAAGTGTCAACAAACAATAAAATTCTTTAATTGCAAGCTTAAATGAATAAATTAGAAGGAAACTGCAAAACAATGATTAACTGTTGAAAAGATTTGTTTATAAATTAATTTTTTGCCAACTAACTAAAGACAGCAAAACAAAAAGCATAATCTAAGCTAAAAAAATTATTTCAAAAAAATTTCAAAATTTTTGACATTTAACAGTGCTGAATAAATAAAATATTACCAAAGTTATCAACAAATTACAAACCTGTGGTTGAAAAATTTTCACACTTTTTTAAATTAGCAATTAGCAAACTTTAAAAAAAGAAAAAGCAAAAAATTTTGAGTGGCAATAAAATAAAGGTAAGGCAGTAAAATTAAAAAATGATTAATAAATAAATAAAAGAAAAATTAAAAAGAAACAGTTAGAATGATTATTCATTTTTCCATATCAATAAAAAAAATGTAACACGTCAAGCACAGGTAAGGTAATGATGAGTCATCAATGCTGAAATTGAAAATTAACGAAAAACAAATGCGAAATGACAAAGAAATGATTTCGAGCAGATAGAAATATCTTAAATTAGTCTCAGCTCTGTCACTTTCTTCAGCTATTTGGCATTTTTTTCCTTTTTTCAGTAAAAGAAGCAAAAATTAGAATAACTTTGATCTTAGAGGTGAAATGTAATAACAGAATACTTTATGACTTACTTCATATATACCACATAACTCGATACTACGAATTACTTTTAAATAAATGAGTTTGTTTTTCTCTCCTTTAAAACTTGATTATTGTTATTTTAAATTCACGGAAGCAAAATTAAAGAGAATTCAAAAAATTTTTTTCTCACTTTATTTCTTAAAAAAGGAAGCAAGAAAAAAACTCTCGCCACATTCTTATCGATCAAAAATATTTAGATAGATTAAAATATTTGACTGAAAGATAGCATTGTATTCTCGAATGATTTCCCGAGAGTAAACCAATGTCAGAGTTAGAATAATTTCATCTTTTAAGGATGAGACAATTAGCAATCAACTGGATCATATTTCAATACGTCTTAAATATATTTGCAATATTTAACAAAAAGAAAATGAAAGAATTGAAAAATCGCTAATTTATGGGTACCTTATGCCATATTTTCATATTTCTTACTGTGACATGCACTGATTCAGTTTATTTGCAGAATTAATATTTTGCTTTTTTTTTGATATTTGAATTGGTATGGAAATTAATTCCTATTCAGTAACATTCGTCAAAACGTTGTATCAAATGTAACGTATAAATGCAATTTGCACAAGTATATTCCTATTTATATACAATAATTAATTATTAATTCACATACACATTTAATGTTAATATATATATATTTATTTATTTTTTTGATATTTTGTCAATTTTTCTGTGAGAACTTTTTCCTCGTTCTTAATATGTGGTTTAGGTAGAGAGGAAAAGATGTGTTAAAAAATTAAAAAGCGATTATTCGTTTTAAGCCAGTAAATCATCTCCTTTACCGCCTCTCGGACTATCAATGGATTTATTGCATTTTGGATCGAAAAAAAGAAACTAAAATTAGTTGACAAAAAAGTTTTAACTTTAAACAGTAAACTGTTATGTAATCATTTTATATTGGTGTAAAAAGGAAACGCATGCAAGTCAAAAAGAAAGTGAAGAACACAAATGTTAAATTAAATTACACTTCACAGAGCTACAAATTTTCCACTTCACTTTTTTAAATTTTGCTATAAAAAATATACATATAACCGTATAAATCTTATTTAATCTTTTTTTTTTTTGTTATTATAAATTATAAAATTTTTAATTTTCATTAGGATTTCTAGGAAAATTATTAATTATTTCAGAGAGAATGGGAAAAGAAGAAAAAAACAGAAAGGAAAAGGAATAAAAGTGAATAAATGAGGAAAGCAGAATCTTCTTAAGCATTAGAAAGTGAGAAAGGATCGATAGATAAATTAATTAAAATTATTAAATTTAAAAAGCTGAAAATTTAAAAATAATCATTCATTTGATAATAGAGATGAAAAATACAAAGAAACCTGAATATTATAAGGTTGTGGCAGTGCAAGAGAAAGGGCCAAGAGACAAACTGAACTGCAATCCATTTTTGAAACGAATTGTGGGAAGGCTTTCCGCCCTGTCACCACTACTGCAGTTATGTCTGCGGTACTCTTCGATTTATGTTCCCTCTAACATCATTGACATAACCCTGCATTATCGTCACCATAATCACAATAATAATCATCGTCATCACCATCATTCACATAACCCTGCATTATCGTCACCATAATCACAATAATAATCATCGTCATCACCATCATTGACATAACCCTGCATTATCGTTACCATAATCACAATAATAATCATCGTCATCACCATCATTGACATAACCCTGCATTATCGTTACCATAATCACAATAATAATCATCGTCATCACCATCATTGACATAACCCTGCA